TTACCTCGACTTGAGACCAACTCGAGTTGCAACCAGAGTCACGGAATGGATTAAGTTTGTATCCCGAGGTACCACTGTACATCATCCCCAAAGTTGGCAGGCTGAAGATATGGACAGCAGTGGACTCAAGTGTACATTGCCAGTCTGGATTTCCAAATCAAATTGTATGTTAATTCAGAAAATCACAAGTTTACATGTGCAAAAATCAACTGATTCTGGCTCAATCCATTTGATCATACACATTTCCTCAGTCATCCTAGTCCATCTCAGCAAAGTGGATAGCACAGGGGAAAACACTAGAGCTTGTCCTTTGATGCTTAATCTTTACCCTATTCCTACCAGAGTTAGCTAGCTAAATTCCAAAAATGGCACTGTGATGGGCCAACAGCATTTTCATGTGATAGAGGCTGTGCATCTTATTTTTTTAAGGCTAATACTTCCCCCAAACAATTGAAAACTGGATAGCCCTCCAAATGGGTTGGTCTACAGCTCCAACATTCCTAGTATGGTTGAGGAAAATAGGAACTCTTATCCAATCGTCTGGTGCAGTGTTTCTCAACCTGAACAACTTTAAGATGTGTGGATTTCAACTTCATGCTGGCTGGGGAATTCTGGGAGTTGAAGTCCATACATCTTAAAGTTGTTCAGGTTGAGAAACACTACTCTAGTGGGCTACCATGGCTAGGAGAAGTTCCTCAAAACCAACCTTTTAAAGCTCTTTATACTGTGAATGACCACACTTTCCACTAGAATTCCCATTGCCCAGAATAGCTGCTTTCATTTCCAAAATCAGAGATCACTACTAGAATGCTTTGTCCTGTTCTGTTCCTAAAAAGGCAACTGCTGTGACCTTTCACTATCTTCTCTAGAACTGGGTTTATACCATGTGCTAAGCCATGTTTGATGGCACAAACTACGACTGGCTCGGGTTCACATGTCCTGGCTGATGAGGACAAAGGCAAGGCAGACGTTCTACAAAAACACAATGGTCGGTTTTATTGGTCCATGTGCTTTCTTACAAAAGAATGAGAGAACACAACACTTCTGGGCCACTCAGAAGGGGCCTCGCTGCCCACAGAGGCTGATGATGGAAGAGGAAGAGTTGAGCTGTTGTTGCAGAAATGGAGGCCCCACCACCCAGCATGGAGGGGACAGAAACAGCAGCGGTTGCTCACCTGCTGGAGGAGGATGAATGAGGCCCCAGGAAGAGTGTAGGACCTCCAGCCCTTTTGCAGACCAGAACCTGGTCCTCTAGCAGCCCCAGATTATTCTTTGGCAATGGCAAATGGTTTCTCCACCTCAATGACATTGCAGTCCGCAATGATGACATCTTTCAGGGGCTTGTCGCGGCTGTCTGTCTTAGTGCTTTCCACCTTCCGGACAACATCCTAGGAAGAGGTAGTAACAAAGTCCTGAGATGATGGGCCCATCTACTGTGGAGGACAATATCTCAGGGATGTTCTGGTCTCCACCATCTCCAGGTCTAATGGTCCCTACTGCAGCTTGGAGGATCAGTTGAGGTTCCAGTAAGATGGGAACTAGAGCCCTCCATTATTTTTATGAAGGGTTCTTCAGGTATTATGAAACTACAACTACCAGCAGCCCTGGCCAGCAATGTTGCGAGTTGTAATTCAACAACACCTGGAGGGAACAGCTGCCAAACGCAGCTTTAGCTAATAAGAACCCCAGTCTAGGGCTTCAAGATCCCAAGGCACACCCAAGCTGAAAGGAACAATCAAAAAGTCTTGCTTGGGAAAATGAAAATGTCGCACTTGGCATCAAAAAGACAAATTTGCCAGATATGAAATCTGGGGAGACCAGGCAGGGGATAATCATATAGCCAGGCCACCACTATGTGGAGAACTCCATTCTCCAGTAACAACCAACTTCTAGCAGTGATGCAATCTAAAGAAAAGGAGGTCGAGCACATCCAAGTGCAGCTTCTGGTGACTAGGTATCCTTCAAATTTATTGTTCTATGACTCCTACCATCCCTGCCAAGAGGTGTAAGGACAAATTTGAGACAGCCATTTTTACAAAAATACAATATGCTGTCTGGGGTTGGTGATGATGGACGTCTTAACAAACACCCTAACAGTTGGGTGCGTCACACCTCATTGTTAGCAAGGCATTCAGATGTAGACCAAGAGCCAACTGAGTTGTAATAACAGTCAAATTCAGCTCTTATTTTGACCCAATGCATCCTTTGCATCTATACAGTGAGCAAGACTAACTCCCACCCCACCCAGCCCACCCGGAGCCCTACCTACCATCCCTTCCAGGACTTTGCCGAAGACGACGTGCTTGCCGTCCAGCCATGAGGTCTTGACAGTAGTGATGAAGAACTGAGACCCATTAGTGTCCTTGCCGGCGTTGGCCATGCTGACCCATCCAGGCCCGTAGTGCTTCAATTTGAAGTTCTCATCTGGGAAACGATCTCCGTAAATGCTCTTACCTGGCAAGGTGAGAAGAGGAGCGATGTACTGCTGTACAAAACAGGGACTAAGGGTCCCAACTCTAAGGCCCACCGGCCATGCTAAGCGTCTCTGAGATCCTTGTGTCCTTTTCAGGCATTAGAAGCGATCGTTTGGCAGGGCTTTCATAAGATGCTGACCACTGGAACTCATCAGCCCCCCATTCCCTTGTTTCTTGGTTGTTGCGTTTCCACAAAATGTGCACCAAGATTTACCTATCCATGATATACCTAATCAAGGGACACTGACTTATTTCACAAGCTAATCCACAATTAAGCTACCTTTGGCTGGATTCACCCTTCACACTGCACCAAATAAATCATATTATAGCTTACAGTACTGTGTGAACCCAGCCAGTTAGAAGTAAAGCCTCCTTATTTTCCCTCGCTTTTGTAATTGATTTTACTGCCCATTGTTTTGGCCGGTTGTCTTTACAGCCTCTTCATTCGTTATTATTATTATTATTTTTTAATCTAGGCATATTTTAAACTGTTGCTAGTCACCTTGACTCTCACACTGATAAAATAATAATTAAAAATACACGTGTAGGTGAACCCACTCAAGAGGAAAGGGTACTTTGAGGTAGAAGTGCCCAAGAATTAAAGATGGCCCCCTCCGGATGTGCATGGAATTCTGGGAGTTGTAGTTTTCACACTCTGGGGCAAGTAACTCCCACAATGGATGTTCAGCCCCAACTCCCGCTACAGCCTGGAGCCTTACCTCCTGTTCCATCGCCCCGGGTAAAGTCTCCTCCCTGGATCATGAAGTCCTTGATCACACGGTGGAACTTGCTGCCCTTGAATCCAAACCCTTTCTGGCAGATGAAAGGAGCAAGGCGTGAGAGTGGCAGACGCAGGGGATCCATACATTAAACATTGGCAGGGCCCCCTATGTCAGCACCATCCAGAGACAGGGGATTTATAGTCTGGAATCTCCAACCAGCATGAGACAAAATGAGCAGGCAGAAAGTGGGATTCATAGTTTTCCTAATCAGACTGAGAACCAAAGAGTTTTTAAACATGAAACGCCATCTTTCCCTCTCAGTAGGGCTGCCCCCTTGACTTCTGGAGGTCCATTCTATGGATGGATGATTCTTGCGAGCCACCCAAAGTTGTGCTGTAAGGTGGGTGGCCTTTTAAATAAATAGCTAAATAGATCCAAACTAATATTATTGAGGGCAGAGTAATTTATTTTCTTCGTAACTTCAACCATTTGCTCCCTGTGGTGGCCGCCCCTTTCTCCCTAACCATAGGGCTGGGCCTGCTCAGAAAGAGCCAGCGCCACGAGGATTTTTCTCCAGTCATCCACAGCAATGGACTTCTCTGCTTTGTTTTCCCTGTGAAGCATCGTCACGTTGCACCAACCCAACACCTATTTTTGCAGGCAGTCAGGAAGGCCCGCGTCTTGGAGCCAGCGTCCGGCTTACCTCTCCTGTGGATAAGGCAACAAAATTTTCAACCGTCTTTGGAACCGTCTTTCCAAAGAGGCCAATGACGACACGCCCCACATTTTCATCCCCGATCTGAATATTAAAATACACCTGGAGAGAAAAAGAGAGGCTGCTATCAGGGACCGGCTGCTTAGCCAAACTCGTTCCTATTCCGAATTCAGCCCCCAACTCCTGGGGGCCATCCCTGATAGCCAGGCACCGCTTGTTGAAGTTTGCCCCCGCAGGAACTCTTTTTGCCCCCAACCACACTTTATGCTTAGGAGGTCGTAGCTGAGTCAGAGCATCACTACAATCACCGCAAACATAAGGGGCCCCACCATTAACCTGCCCTGGTTGCTTCAGGATAAAAAAGTACTACGTAATACATGTGGCTGCAACCTCCCTCCCTCCAACTTCTCACCTAAATTAATCAGGGCTGAACGGGCAGAACCATGGGGCCCTGGGGAACAGCCCACACAAATGTCCACTTTTAGTGAATTTTTTTTTTTAAAAGGCTACCCTAGGTGAGGCATAATTGGGAAAGGAAATTGCAATATCATTTTATTTATTTATTTGTCATATTTATATAGCCACCCATCTCACACAAGATGACTCTGGGTAGCATTCAACAATTAAAAAAAAATACATAAAAACTATACATAAAAAACAGTAAAAACGCACAAAACAGGAGGGGATAAAATTCACGAGGGAGCCATGGTAAGATCTCCCCGGTCCCCTGGGAGCCCCAGGCCTGATCATGCAGCCAGGTCTTGGGGGACTTACGGACTGTTAAGTGGGACGGAGCTAATCTCACTTCCAGGGGAGGAGATTATATATTATATTTTCCAGCATATACAAGGCCATGGTGTGACTCTACTGGAGATGTGTACGTTTCTGGTTGGATTCTGAGGAGCTAAAGAAGGGGAAACAAAGACCCGGATGCACAAACACACAATTGCAACAAAAGCAGAAACACACTTGCAACACATTGCTTCGCTATGGACTTCAGCGATGGCTTCTGCTGCTAAAGGAAACAGAAAGAATTCTAGAAGCTGTGCCCTGCAAGCTTTCCCTAATTTATTATACCCATCTCCTCCAGCCTCCGTTGACTATGATCTCCACCAACCCCAATCAACACGGCCTTCGTGAGATGATAGCGTTACGCCTCTCCACAGCAGCAGGTTAGGGAAAGCTGGTTATGACTGAGAAGGTATTTCCGTAACTGTTTAGCTGTTCTTCCCATATACGGATTGCACTTTCGAAAAATAGTAATAAAAATAAAAGTCTGCAAGATGATTATGTGAGGCTGAGGAGATGGGGAAGGAAAATAATACAGGGAGTCCTCGTTTAGCGACTGCCTCATTTAGCAACCGTTCGCAGTTACAACACTGATGAAAAAGTAAGTTTGCGACCAATCCTCATACTGACGACCTTCGCAGGTCTGTAAAGCAAAGGAAAGCTGAAGTCAGATCGTAAGCACAGTCGCAGTTCACTTAGCGATTGCTTCACAACGCCCGAGTTGCTGGTCCCAACTGTGGTTGCTAAACGAGGACTACCTGTATTAGATGTTTTCTTCTTTCAAAAACAAAGACATTGCAAACCTGCAAGAAAGCAAAAGGAATCAGAGAAGAACTATAAAAATAGACCCATCTCCGGGAAAAACTCCAGGTATACAGGAAATCTCCAGGTATACATATATCAGCAAAAACATAAAACCAGCCTAATAGCATTCTTACTTCTACGGAGTGGGATTTAAAAAGTGATGAATAGTTTCTCTCAAACCTGATGTCCTCCCGTAAACTAAAACACCCATAATTCCAAGTCAGCCCTGCAAAAAGGAAAAAAAACCCTCACCCCAACAAAAAATACTTCTTAAGCCTAAACTAAGCCCTCCAACTTGGTTGCTCACCCCCGAGATGTTGCGCTGCTCCTCCTATCCAGCACAATGAATAGGATAATGGCATTCTTTATTGTATTCATTTATAAATTACAATCCAACACACCTAAAGGGTCCCAGGCTATGTGAAGGTGAGGAACACATTGTGTCTTTGAAAGCCCACCAGATGTGTAAGGGCCCAAGATGCACGCATGCACGATGCCATCAAGCACACGCCATACATTATTTAAGCCGTGCTAATTGAATCAGGCAAGGGATGAAAATACACACTCTGAGTAGCAGCTGCAATGACAGCATCACGTGTGTGCTGTTCTTAGAGGCTTCTACCAGACCTGGGTGTCAGGACAGAGGCTGCTGCTTGAATGGCCACCAGCCTCAGCTGCTTTTCCTAGAAGATACAACAGCTACATCCATGGATATTTCCATGGTAGGCAAATCCTGGGCCAAACCTGAAACTGCCCAGAGTTGCTGGGAGGTGGGTGGCCGTGCTGCTTATTTATTATTGTTGTTGTTGTTGATTGCAGTCAGCCAGATGTTTAGACCGGATGTGGCATTTTTATCCACCTATTGAGTCCTTCCCAAGGTCCTGGGACAGGCAGATGTGGTTGTTTGATGGTGTTAAAGATATTATTATTGTTGGTATATAAAATGTTGTTATATAAAAAGGTATTATGATTGTTGATTACTATGATTATCATCATCTCAGACTTGGCTAAGGCTTCCTGGGAATGGCAGAATCCTTTGCAAGGGAAACTAATAACAGGGCCCTCATCCTTCTGTCCTGGGGGGATCCCTCCACCCCTCCCAAATATTCTTTCTTCATTCCCCTGGAAATCACAGTCCAGGTTTAGTCGTTTGAAAATGCCATGTCATCATCCTGACCATCATGTTCCTTAATTTCAGGGGCTCTAGAAAGCAGACTGCAATTCTGGCGCCTTCACCGGCCAGGAGACAACCCCACTGAACCCGGGTGGGCTTCCTTCTGAGCAATCATGCAGGAAAGATCCTGCATGAATCTCGCTGCCTTTTGCCTCCCAACCCTAACCTTGCAATCCGGAGGGGATGATCCCGCCCCAAGATCCAAAGTGGGGCAGCTGCAAATCCCTGTTCTCCGCAGCCTTCCTATTTATGGGCGACCCTGCTTAATATGGGGGGGGGATGCATGCATCCCCCGCATGCAGGCACGCCAGCGTCCCCCGGCTCCGTCCCCTTACCTCGGCATCAACCCCACCGGATGCAACCGACGCAGACCCGCCCGGCGGCTCATCCTGTTCTGCGCGGCCGCTGCCGTTTCGGAGGATGATGGTTCCCGCTCGCCCCCCCACCCCTTCCCGCCCGTGCACACCCACGCGAGCACGTGGGCGAATGCACGCGGATGGCATAAAAGCTGCCCGCTCGCCGGCCGGCCGATGCGGGGTCGGGAGCCGTCCGGGCGTGGGCCGGTCGCTCCCAGCCTGGCCTACGTCGCCAGGCTGTTGTAACGGGGCGAGCAATCAGAAGGGTTGCTGCACGTGCGGCAGATCCTGCCGCAGCGCAATGCAAGAGGGGGGCGCGATGCACGGTGAATGAGGAGCCTGGGTGACCGCCCGCCCCGCTCACCTTCACCGTGACCTTGGGACCCTTCTTGCGCTCCTCTGCATGAGTGCCTGGGAAGAGCAGCACCAGGAGACCCC